TATAGGCCCATTGCCAGTTCTTGTAAATAAAGTTTTATTAGCACACAGACGTGCCCACTCATCCATTCATTTACATATCGCCTATGGCTGCTTTCCAGCTCAGAAAGCAGAATTGAGTAGCTCTGCAGAAGTGCGTGGCCCACAAAGCTGAAAATATTTACTATCCCACCCCCTTGACAGCAAAAGGTTGCCAATCTTCAATTCAGTCACACATAGAACTTCCTCAGCGTGCCTTGCTAACAAGGAAGCTCAGAGCTAAAATTATTGTTAAATTTCAGAAACTCACTCATCTTCAATATTCTTTTTATTTCTCTAAGCATATGTTTCAGCCTTCTAATTCCATTTTAACATTTTATTTAAAAATAGCTAGTATTCCCTGAGTACATATTATATGCCAGGCACTGAATTGAGCCCTTCAATATGTTCTTTTATTTAATTCTCATATTAAACTCATGAGGTAGATGATATTATCCTCATTTTTTTTTTTTTTTTGGACTGGGGAGAGGTTTTTGCTATAGGGCGCATGCACTGGCAAGGAAGACAGAGAGAGACAGAGAGACAGAAAGTGAGAAAGTCCTCCCATGGGGGGGTGGCCACACCGCAATCCCTGCTCCTCCATTGTCCTCTCAGAATCCTGGGCATGCAGGTACATGTGCCCAGTGTGAGTTTAAGCCACCAGGTCCAGGACTTGAACCATGGTCGACTACATGGGAGTCAGCAACATAGCCATTACATTAACTGCTGGTCCCTATCTTCAATTTATTGAGGAAAAAAATGAATGGGGAAAAATGGATGAGTAAGTCATCAACTGTTTGCACAGATGGCCTATTTATTATTTTATAATTCTATCTCAGAGAGCAATACAGGGGTTGATTAGAAAATTTGGGGTGTTCAATTAATATAATAGTGCTGCAGGGCCAAGACAGGTAGCTGCAGTCAATTCAAGCAGAATTATAGGATTATACAGCACTATAGTTTATACAGTGCCATAGTTTGGGGATTCTTTTTGTTCTCAATCTAGCTGCAGACCAAATGCAGTTACTTCATCCTGAATCTCATGGACTTAGAGAGGACTGCAGTGGACCTAAGTCACAGGTGACATGAATCAGGACACAGAGTCACTCCTGTCACAAGCTCAGTCACTTTCTTCAGCAAATAGTCAGAGCCACACAGCCAAAGTACCCCAAGTTCAAATCTGAATCTGAATATCTATATCTTAACCAGTAATATCTGCAAAATCACAGGTGTTGTGTATCAACTGTGTTCTTTTCCTAATTCAAGTTAAAGTGAATATAAAACAATTCTTTTTTTTAAATATTAAGAAGCTAGCCTGGGCCCAGCCCTGCTCCCTAGAGGTTAGAGAGCTGAATCCTACATAGCCACTTGTGGTTTTAATCCCAGCCTTGCTGCCTTGAAAAACACACCAGGGGGACCAGTAGATGGCATAATTTTTGCATCACTGGATTCTCACATGGTTGACCATGGTTAGAGTCCCAGACCCGGCGGCTTGAAACTCATGCCAGGCGTGGGTGCGTCCATGCCCAAAATCCCAGGGAGACTGGAGAAGGGATTGTGGCATGGCCAAACTCATCCCGGGGGGGGGGGGGGGGAGGCGCGGGCAGGCTTTACTTCGGGGGGGGGGGGGGGGGCAGGGCATGATTTCTTGCTTTCTGCCTCTCTCTCTCTGGTGAGCACACATGCCCTATAACAAAGACTGCTTTTAAAAAACAAACAAGCAAGCAAAAAACGACAACGACAACAACAACAACAAAAAACACCAGGCGTATGTGCCCAAAATCCTAACAGGGTGGAGAAACGGAATAGAAAGGATTGTGGTATGGGTGCTTTCTCTCTCTATCTTTGTCTCTCTGTCTCTTTCTGGCAAACACATGCACCCTCTGGCAATAAGGAGAATGGGGAGGGGAGAGAAGAAGGAGAAAAGGGAGAGAGGGAGGGGAAGGAGAAGACAAAGCAGAAAAAAGCTCACCTATCTCTAAGCTGAATTCCCTTGCCCACCTCACCAGCACACTGAGAAGCACTGGTAGAAGGGGGGGGGGGGCAGTACCAGCACCATCAGCACCACCACCACCCACCACCTGACTGATGAGCCCAAGGACATGGGTCCTGTCTACCCAGCCACATCCCAGGTTACACCTGCCATCCCGGAGTGCTCATGACAGTGCCCTTTCCACTCTCGACTGTCCCAGCTGAGAGGATAAAATATTGGATTGTCAGGAAAGCCATGGCACAGTTTTGCATAGAAAAACACAGAAAAACACGCATGGCTTTCCTAATGACCTAATAGTGTCCCTACCAATGAGAGATCTAACGCCCAGAGAAGATCTGCCATGGTCAAAGAGTCATGGGACCAAACTCTAGGCAATGTGACCCCACTGGCTTTGGAATCCATTGGAACCGTGTTTACATTCTGCCTATGTCCCCTGCTTTGCTTCTCTGTTGTCCAGTTACTTTGCTTCTCTGTTTGCTTCTCTGTTGTATGGTTACTTCAATAGTCAAACAGGTCCTAATGGTAGTGTCTGCCCACAGCTCCATTTGGGGGTTTGAGTTGACTAGTGCTGGCCATGCACTCTGCACAGAACACAGCTTACTAAATGTGAGTATTACTACATCAGCGCCCAGAGAGAACCAATGCATCCAGACACAGGGGGGAGTCTTGTTCTTGCCATAACCGCCCTGTGTCTTTTGGTGCCCAAGCCCACCATTGTCCTCCCATGAGGAGCAGGAGATAACCCAGACCACCACAGTGGGGTTTGCTAAGGAGCAGCTGATAAAAGAGAAGACACAGAGCTGGAGGCGCAGTGATAAGTGAGACATGGCCGCTACCACAGAGGGTGGGAGGTGGTGAGACCGGAAGGCCTGAAAAGGCAATGAGAAGGGAGGGGGAGGTGCTGGGCCTCTGCCTCCCCCAGCTGGGCCCCTCATGTCCCAGGACAGCTTCGTTCACTGCACAGAGCCCAGCCAGATCATTGCCCAGCCCTCAAGGTCTTCCTAGGAGTCAACAGCCCCCTTTCTGAAATGACCCCTCTCCCACCCCCGTGTGGCTACCCTTCCCCCATCACACTGTACCACAAGTCCCCATGGACCCAAGGGCATGGCTCCCTCCAGCTCCTGGCCAGAGACGACTGTTCCACTTTATCCCCAGGGCTAAGCACAGCAGCTACAGCACCACATACACACACACACACACACACACACACACACACACACAGATTCAAAGCAAGTCATTCTCCTTCAGGGAAACTGCTATTGACAAGATGAAAACTGCTCACGCAAACCCAGAGGGGAGACAGGAGAAAGCGCCAGCACTAGCAACACCACCAAGCACCAGCATCAGCAAACACTAGCACCAACAGGACCAGCAGTAGAAACTGGCGCTTCCTGTTCTGCTTCTCCTGAGTAAGTAATGTCGGAGGAGTTACAGGACTCCTCAGAGCCTCAAGATCCTCAGCCGTGAAGTGGGCATGCCCCTGCCCACCCAGGGGGACTGCTGGGCTGATTAATTACAGAGTTGCCCAAAAGGAAATGTTTGTCTTTTGCCTGGACTTTTTAAGGACACCAAAAGAAAACCACTAAGAGTCACCTACTGATCAGGCAAACTATGACGAAACAAAGAGCCTGTCATGTGTCTGACCTCTGTGTCAGAGAAATGTATCTGGACCTCAGAAAGATTACTTACTAGCTGGGAGAAAGGCATGAAACCAAGTAGCCTGCAGAGTGGACAGAGAATTATAGCACACCTAGGAGCTGTGGATGAGAACAGTGTGTAACACCCAGAGGGACAGATCTCCAATCAGGAGGCCAGAAGGCTTGCCTGGGGAGGTACCAGAAGGCGGGAACAGAACTGGCAACCCAATCAAAATCAGATCAGAGGCCCCACCCCACGTGCAGTCTTGGCATCCAAATGCCAGGTGGCCCCAGGAGACCTGAAAACCCCGTCAGAGCTGCTTAGTGGTGAGAAACGCCCCCAGAGCAACCAACCTTCTAAGTCACCAAGCCCAGCCTCAGGAGGCCAATCTTCCTCCTGGTCAACTGCAGAGCTGTGACAGTGTTTGTTGTCACATCCAGCTGCTCCTTTCTGTGAGCTAGCACAGGGCTCCTTTCCCTCACCCACTGCTGGCCTGCCAGCTGACCTCCCACAGCTGCAGGGACCTTTACTCATCTGGCCATGCCAACCAGCAGTGCCCAGTTCGAAGTCCAGCACCGCCTCCCTGGCTCTGCTCAGAAACACTGTCAAGGGCCAAGAAACGTCCCCTGTACCCAAAAGCCGTTCCCTGGCCAACAGAGTCCCCTGATATGTGCTGAGTATCTGCCAAGTGTTCAGTACATCAGTGTCCATTTGGGGACCGTCAACACCAGTCCCATGAAATATGATCGCAGTTCCTGCCTTCATACTGAACAGAGAGGGGAAAGGAGTCTAGCAGTCACCTGCCCAGAGTCGCACAGTGTGTAGCTGTTAGAGATTCAAACCCAGGCCCGACTGGCCCAAACCACCTGCTGACGCAATTCTCACAGTACCAACCATAAGATCTTTTTTATAATTACTAGAGGGCACATGTACTTGCTAGTGAGACAGAGAAGGAGAGGGGAAAAGCACCATCCGATGGTACACGGTCACATGGATCCTTCTCCATTTCTTCTTATTGTTTGGGTTTTGAGCACACAAGTTCATGCACCCTCTGTGTTTTTCAAGCTGCCAGGATCAGGACTTGAACTACAATTGACCATGTGGGATCTGGCTTCTTTAACCACTAGGCTACAGGGCCAGCTCACCAACATGGTCCTATGTTGTCCCTCGCTCTAAGCATGAAGCCAAGAAATTCTCCCCCCCATGATAGCTTCCCTATTAATCTTCAATTCACAGTCTTAATTCATCAACCAGCTTGTCCGAATTCACCCCTTTTGCAGCCTGAGAGGCGTGTGCTAGGCCTCTGGGAGACGCAGCACCATGAAGAAGGGGCCCCAGCCCTCACGATACTTACAAGCAAATAGATGGAGACAGATGCAAAACCAGGAAGACCAGGCAAGGGTAACAGGTAGGATGACACGCGTCAGCACAGGAAACTGCGGCGGCTCCCAGGGAGGACCTCTTAATTTCCATCTGTCTCCCCCAAGGCACTTTGCCAGAACACACTGAGCAAGGTTATAAAATGCTAGCTGCTTTTAACAATTAGCCACAGGACAGTCGCACCTGATGCCCAGGTGAGCACTGAGCAGAGCATGGGTGAGATGCTTCACAAGGAGACTTACATATCATAAGGAGTCCCAAAGGGAGCCAGCAGAGACCCTACCACATGTTCCCATCCAAGGACATCTTCACTCTTGCAAGCACAGGGGTTCTCGTCCCCCATGGACATCTGGGCTGTAAGAATCCACAAGGTACCCGGCTGGGGCTTCCTTTAAAACCACTGTAGCATCCCCAAGTATGCCGAGTGTGTGTAATTCCAGTACATGCTTCTACCACATCATTCCCAGGTGGTTGAGTGTCACTGTAAATCCATCAGGCTCTGAAAATCCTTGACAGAAGCTCCACACAACTGACGGGCACAGCCATCACGATGGGGCACCTTTTTTTTTTATCTCTTTCTGGTCAGCAGATCAGGCCTGGGAGAGGGAAGAAGAGAAAACATCTTGTCACAATCAGACTCAACGGCAGTCAGTCATTTTTAACTCCTTATGTTTGACCCTCCTGTACTTAGGAAAGGAACTCACTTCAGATAACTCTGGTTACCGAAACAGGTGAAGCGGCAGTGCCAGGAGGCCCTAATGGAGTATGGCTTCCCATGAAGCACCCCGGACTTTCAGACAGGGCCCCTCCAACTGCTCACAGCTCCCTGAGACAGCCCCGGGATCGGAGGTGCCCGTGACAGAGATGAAGAGAGAACGTGAGGTCAGTGGCTGAGACAGCGGGCAGCAGGGCCAGGCCTGGCCATCAGCCTGGGCTCCCCTGCAGGGCTGAGAGGTCCCGGCTCACTGCCGAGAGGTTTAGGGTCAGTGGATAGGAAGTAATTCTTTGTTTTGTTTCTTTTTAAGCACAACCACAAAACCCTGGCCCTTCTCCAGGCCTTGTCCTGCACTGCAGACTTCAGGGCAGAGCCTGCAGGCTGTTCTGTTCTTACTCATGTACTCAGCATTCCCTGAGCACCTACTGGGTACCAAGTACTGCTCCAGGGACAGGACCATGTCATTGTCTTCCCATTCCAACGATGACTGAGGAAAACCTGACCCACAATGCTTGAGACTCAACACTCTGCAGTCCTTCCCAGAGCATCTGTTATTCACCCTGCTAAGAGCTCTGGCCGTGCCTGATACAACCCCCTAACACCCTGGCACTCCCGCCCCTATTTTTCAGATGAGGAAATGAAGGACACAGACAAGTACTCTGCCTCAAACTAGTAGGAAAAGAGCCTGGATCTGAAGCTCCACACTGTCTTCCCAAGTCTGTGCCCTGATCCTCTGCCCTGAGTTCCAGTGAGGGACGCCTACCAGAACGCCCCTAAGTACACCTTACTTCCAGGCACTTCACATGCATAGAATGCCCCATTTACTCTACACAAAAGAAAAAAAAATCTACATGTTATAGACTATTATTATCCAATTATAGAAACGAGAAATGTAAGCACTTGGAATGCTAAGCAACTCAACCAAGGTCACACAGCTAAAAAAAATAATTTTTGAATCAAAGAACATAGGTTTGAATGAAGGCAGTCTGGTTCCAAAGCTGATCAATATCCATCAACACCTATTACTGCCAAAACAAATGTTCACAAAGGTAGTGGTTCAAAATAGCACAAATTCAGGCTGGCCCCCAGCACAGCAGTTAAGTACTATATATTGGGAGCTAGTTCCCACATAGCAAACCGTGGTTCAAATTCTGGCCCCCGCAGCTTGAAAAACATGATGGGCATGTATGCATGCATGTCCCAAATCCTGATGGGATGGATAAATGGAAAAGGGATTAAGCCATGTCCACACCCACTGGGAAGGACTTTCTTTTTTCTTCCCCTCTGGTGAGCACATAGGCCCTCCGGCATAAAAAATAAAAACACATGTAAATGTATTATCTTACAGTTCTGGAGGTCAGAGGTCTGACACGGGTCTCACAGCTCCACTCAAGGCATTGGCAGGGCTGCATCCTATTCTGAGGTCTGAGAGAGAAGCCCTGTCCGGGTGTGTTCTAGCATCTCGAGGCTGCTGTGGGCCTCGTCAAACGCAGCAACACTGCATCTCTCTGACCTACCTTTGCTGTCGCATCTTACTCTCTGACTAAATCTTCTGTTTCTCTCTTCCATTTTTATGGACTCATGTGATTACATTGTGCTCACCCACATGATCCCAGATAATCTCTCTATCTCAAGGTCCTCAGCCTTAACTCTTAACTGTATTTCAAAGTCCCTTTTGCACTGGCATCCATCCCAGTTTAGGCACTCTTCAGTGACAAGAAGCCCCCATTTTCAACACGGAAACCAAGCTAGCTAGCTACACACACACACACACACCTGCAGAGACCAATGAAGCAAGCACTAAGTAAATATTAATGTTTTCTTCTTAAAAACTAATTCACACCCATGGTCCCTTATAACAGCTGGGGATTGCGATATCACATTCCCAAAAATAAAAAGGACGCTGACCACAAAGTGATCATGCAGGGATCACCACTGTCCTCAGTGACAGCGAGCCACGATTAATAAGGATATTTAAGGTGATCGGTACTGTGCTCTGTACACATACAATCATGTTTACTTCAACTGCAATAGCCCATGATTTTTCCGTTTTCCAGAAGAGATTTCCGAGGCTCAGACTTTAAAAAAAAAAAAAAAACAGAGACTTTTGCTATAGGGTACACGTGCTCACCAGAGAGACAGAGAGAGACGGAGAGCAAGAAATCAGTGCCCAGAGAAATGACCGTGCCGCAATCCCTTCTCCTCCATTCTCCTCTCAGGATCTTGGGCATGCATGCACATATGCCCAGTGTGACTTTTAAGCCACCAGGTCCGGAACTTGAACCATAGTCGACTATGTGGGAGCCATCTGCTGGTCCCCCAAGGCTCAGACTTTAAGAGGCAGAGTCAGGGTTGCATCAAAGTTGGATCTGACTTCCAAAACTTGTATTCTTTCCATTCTGATACATACTCTCACTTAAATGACACACCTTCTAGAAAGTTCCATGCCTGGCAATGGTCAGTAGCTCCTATTGGGCCAGCCCTTGGAGTATATAACAACTATTTTGAAAAACCACAAGACACCAGAGTGGCCAAAAACAGGACATCCTGGAAGGGGATCAACACTGAGAATAAGGAAACTTCACACTCTATGACTTCCTCCTTTTGGATATTTTGAGCCCGAAACCATACCCAGGTTTGCCCCATGCAGGTGGTTATGTTCAGATAGTCTTATTGGATTAAAAACTAGGGACAAAAATCAACAGCTAAAAGCGAGAGGAGAAATTAGAAAAGGGGAGACCAGGTTCTATGTATAAATGCTCCTCAAATCGTGGAATGAGCCCTAAGTCAAGTGTGTATGCAGTCCAGGTAAAGCCAAAAGGACTAGAGATATCATTGCTGCCTCCAATGCAAGGGAGACAGAGTTTAAAGTTTGAGTTTAATAAGTTAACTGCCTATAAAAAACTTAGCAAGGAAAAATGAAAACTTTAGAAGTCCGTGTGTGTGTGTGTGTGTGTGTGTGTGTGTAAAACAACTCACTGAATGCATTTAACAGCAGACTGGAGAAAAAAGAAAGAAGAGTCTGTGAATTTAAAGAAAGAACAACAAAAATTATTTAATTTGAAAAACAGAAGAAAAATATGGGGAAAAAATGAAGAGGGTCTTAGAGACTCGAAGGAAAGTATCAAAAGATGTCATATATCTGAAATTTTAGTCTCAAAGAAGGAGAAAAAAGGAATGGAGCAGATTGATATCTAAAGAAAAAATTACTGAAACTGCCTTATACTTGGTGAAAGACATCAGTTCACAGATACAAAACTATTCTATGCAGGACACAAACAATCACACCTCAGTAAATCGTGGTTGAAGTGCTAGAAACCAGTTTGAAGACATGAAAGAAACCAGAGAAAAATGACAATTCGAATTGTTTAGAATCATTCAAGAACAGAGATTTCCACCCAGACCAAACAGGTGAGATTCCCTTATCTCATTTAAACCCAATGGGCACTGTTTATACTCAAGAGAAACATAGGGTAAAAAGGAACCTCAAGTATCTAAATTCAGCCCCTGAGAAAGAAGAGGAAGTTCAGGATAGTGGTTCAAAAATGACAATGTGAAATTAGACTATTAAATTTACCAACTATGGGAAAATGTTTTTAATCCTTTGTCTTCTCATTTATAAAATGACAGTAAACAGCATCCACTATTTCAAAGAACTGTTATGAGATTGTGTTGTGTGAATACCTGTGTCCTCCGCAAATTCCTATGTTGAAATTCCAACCTCCGAAGTATTAGGAGGGCCTTTGGGAAGGTGATTTGGGAGGACTCCACCCTCATGATGGGTTAAATGCCCTTATAAAAGAGCGCAAAGGAGCCTGTCGTCCCTTCCACCATGGGAGGACACACTGAGAAGACCCCCATCTAGAAACCAGACACCAAATCAGCTTGATCTGGCACTTCCCAGCCTCCAAACCATGCGAAATACACTTTCGTTATTTGTAAGCTACTATCAATAGGATTACGTGTTTTATCAGCCAGAATGGACTAAGACGGGCTGACGTGAAATGAAATAATCAACATAAAGCACCCAGCACATTGTGGGACACATATTTAAGGCTCTATGTTGGCCCAGCTGCAGGGTCCAGGCAGTCGGTGCCACTGTATGCTGCTGGATCCACAGGAGAACAGGGTTCAGATCCTGGGCAAACCTGAACACGCTAGGCATACTCAAGCATACACATAATCCTAACTGGCTGGGAAGCTGGGAAAGGAAATCCCAACAAGGAAATCTGTGAAAGGAATGAAGTGAGGAAGAGAGGGAGGGAGGCATAGAAGAGTTCTATGTCAGCTATCACTCTTGCATCACATCCAAGAGGTCTGGGTGGTTCCTCCAAGGCCGCTGCTCACTGTCCTCCTCTTTCACTGCTCAGCTCCTCTGAGTAGCCCCTAAGAGCACAGCACAGGCAAGCAGCCAAGAAAGGCTCCTGAGTGACAGGGTTAAGGCACTGCCTAAGAGGGGCTGCTTCATCAAGAAGGGGAGTTGTGATTTATGGCATCTGCCTCAGGTAATGGCAGGGCAGAGAATGGGGAACACAGTCTGTTAAATATTTACTGAGGCCCACAGGCAAGTCTGAAGCAAAGTTTGTTTTGTTGGGGTCGGGGACATTAAAGTTCTATCACCTGAGAAAGAATTACTACATGGTCTGCTGGATATTACCGCAGTCAAGCAGGAGTCCCTGACCAAGGGGTGATACTGACGGCCATGAAGAAGGTGGCCACACCTTGCCCTCCACCTTCAAGAGGACACAATGCCAGGCACTGTACACCAGGACTTCTAGTACAGAATCCTAACACTACTCTCTCTGCTGCTTGTATGCTGGTAATTCCTTTTAAGTCATTTGCTCTTTCTGTAATGGACTAGCTCAAATTAAAAAGACAGAC